ACTCTTTCAGTTACTTCTTTTTTCTGGGGCATATGTCCCTAACCCGGATTTAGGCAACACTGCAAAATATCTCACTATGGATTTGATATCCTTATGTTATTCTAAGTTATAATTAGATATAGGAACACATCGATGTTTTTTATATTTGAAGGATTGTACTATTTTTGAAGGAAATTCATTTTCATAATCCATTTTTACTGTTACAGGGTTTTTTTAAAGAATTAGTTAAGCTACAGTTGTGATCAAGTTATGAGACTGTAAATCAGTAGGATTGTAAGTTAAAAATGTGATTCTGTTCTGAGGTTTAATAGGTTTTTTGTTTCCTATGTGCCATTGCAAGTGAAAATATGATATATTGAAACTGCCTAACTTGTTTATTTGCCAAAAACACAAAGCACATATCCTCCTGCTTTAAGATTAAGCAAATGTAACATATAAAAGATTCAAAAAGAACAGAGAGACTAAGAGTATGCTTATAATGGTGATATTTGACCACCTACTAGGTGAAAGACAATTGTTTTACCATCCTCTTTTTATTTTGGGATGGTTTGAAATATGTCTGCTTATATATCTGTAACATCCTCATCACAAATAGATTTCAATGTTCCCGAAAGCTTTGTGCTGCTTCAAAATCATAGTTATAAAATGCTAATAATAATAATAATGCATAGTTTGGATAGCCAAAGAGAAAAGAAGCCCAAAGTGGGTCCCTATGGGCTATTCTAAGATCCTCTGTGAAAGCTAATAATAGGGCAAGGACTGTTTTCTGTGTAGTTGTAGAAGAAGCTGAAATATTTGTTCTACATTCTGTGCTGAAGCACGTTTGAGCCTTGGGATACAGACTCTCTGTTCTCTGTTGGGCTTGGATAGGGATTTGAAGGATGATTCAGACCCTTGCGCTGATCAGCATGGTCAGCAGTTCCTCCTCTGAAGTTTTCCAGTTATCAAGGCTGACACAGTTTGTTATAGCAAAAACCTTATCAATTCATCTGGGGGCAGCTCCAGATCTCAGGCAACAGTCTTGGAGGTGTGCAGACTTCTGGAAAGATTTGCTTACTTGTAAATGTTTTGAGTTTTGAGTAAATGATTAATGTATCTGCAATTTCTTACAAGATGGTAGAGTTTAAAGTTTTGAATCTGAAAGTTACTGAATCACCTAGAGGAAACAAAGCCTCAGAAAACAAATATATGATTAATATTTTATGTTGATGTATTATATTTATACTGTAAATCACAGTGGGAAAAGAGAATATGCATGTTTCTGGAAAGTAATTGTGTGGATCCTTGCTTGTGTAAATCTTTAAAAGGAAGGCTATGTGCTCGGCCTATCGAAGTTTCACTCACTACCGTAATTCTGTGACCAGCTGAAGTAGATATTTAATCCATAAATCCAGTCAGTTGATTTGATTAAAAGACATTAAATATGCCCGTATTTTCCAGCTACAGAAAAAGATCTGCAGCCTTTAGAATTTGTGCAAAATGGTTTTATAAATGTTAAGACACAATATAGGATCACTGAGCTTTGACTCCACTTGGCTCTGCTGAGGTCTATCTATCTTCTACTTCCATCATTGACTTTCATGTTTTCATGTTTTTTTTGGTTTTGTTTTTATTAATTTTGGTGCAGCACTTCACTCAAATACCCCGTAATTTTATGGCTTTCCTGTGCATCATGACTTGAGTGCAAGGTCAAACCAGAGGACTACATGAATAGCTTTTAGGTTAATCCTTAAAAAGTATTTACCAAAATAATTTAGTAAAGATTTATCCTTACTGTAATCTTGAAAAATAAAACAGACGATTTTGATGCAAATAACTTAGAGGGAAAATATGAAAAAAAAAGCCAGTTTGACTTATTCATTCACTTTTGATCTTTTTTTTTTCATTTGAGAAGTAGCTTGCGTATGAGACAATTTTATAATAGTATTTAGGAAGCACTACAAGCAGGATTTTGAATCTCAGATGATCTCTGTAGTTTTCTACAGTAGTTGCATCAATGCAAAGCGGAGGTAAAATAGTGTCAGAACTAAAGTAAGGAAGACACCCATGCTATTAAATTCTGTGCCTTTAGAGGTACAGGAGATGTAACTTTTGCTTTTATTTAGCTCTGATCAGAAGTCACTCTGGGGAACAAGAGAATTTTGCAGAGAATTACTGTCTCTAATTGCTGTAATTTCACAATCAATGTTGCTGTTTTTGTAAGTAATTAGGATTGTGACATGTCATTTCCTGTGCAATTTGGCAGGGAGGTAGCAAGAATGATGAATTAGCTTATCCACTTAATTTCATGAGATGAGGTTTGTGACAGCATTTGTGAGATTGTTTTGACTTGTGTGGTTGGAGTGGTGTAGGAAGCTGACACAGACACTGACACAGATTAAATGTGGATAAATAAATAAATAAAAGCTTGTAGTTGAGGCTTCCCAGCCCATTTAGCCATCAATAAACCATTAAATTAAGTGACAAGAAATGCTTGTCGTGCTTTCTTATGCATAAAGATGAAGAGACAGTCTCAAGACAGAGTCTGTTTCAAAGGAGGTTGTGATGGAGCAGTAGTTTCAGGCAATACAAAAATTACCCCAACCAGCTGTTTGGAAAGACAGGATTTCTGAACAGAGATGTAGTGTTTTTCTCTAAAGCAGAAGTTTGAAGGAGAAGTGAGTGGCGGGGGAGGCTTTGGTCAGAGCCGCAGAGGGATGCTCTGGATTAGCACTCTGCGCACAGGCACCAGGGCGGGGTGCAGCTGGGAAGTGTTTGAGCTTTAGGTCACCCTATGATTTGTGATAATCCTCCCCACTCCACACTGCTGTGCACAGGTTACAGCTTGTTCCTGTTGGTTCCTGCAGCGCTGCTCCTCGTCCTGCTCATTTGCATCGATCGCTGCTGCTGGTGACACTCACGCGCCCTTTGGTAAAGAGGCTGTCAGAGCTCCCGTCCCTCTGCAAGCCCCGTTATGGACCCACTCCTCTGTGAGACGTTCATTAGTGCTGCCTGCCAGAAGGTTTATGTAACAGATGTTGTGAAGTGGACACACAGGAACACTCACACGCACACATAGGAACACTCGTGCGCGCACACGCACCGGGTCTGCAAGGGCTCTCGGGGCGGCAATGAAGGGAGGATGGTCTGTGGCACTAGAGTAGCTTGGAGGCACAGCTGTGTCCGTGAGAAAAAAAGCAACTAATATCTCCGTGTGACCATGCTCTATTTTCAGCTTGTCATCATGGCTGGGACTGTTCTGCTCGCCTACTACTTCGAATGCACTGACACTTTCCAGGTGCATATCCAAGGTTTCTTCTGTCAGGATGGCAATTTGATGAAACCATACCCGGGAGCAGAGGATGAGAGCTTCATCTCTCCTCTTGTGCTGTACTGTGTGCTGGCTTCAACCCCGACAGCTATTGTAAGTATAAGGAACCGTTTCAATTCTTTGCTGTTGCTCCGCAGTAGTAATAACCCTGATATATTTCTTTGTCCCCTTTCCTCTCTCTTCCGCTGTAATTGATTTGCACTTAGCTGGCTCTCTGTTTTGCTTTAGCCCAATATAATCTTCATCAGTTATCTCCAGTGGTAATTATTCTAAGCGAATCACAAGGAAAGACTGAGGGTAGAGCTTGTTAAGCCTGTCACAATAGCTCACTCTGCTGATTAGTTGTGAATTGTGTGATTCTAGAGAGGCCTAAACGTAAAGGTGATCTGTTTCTGAAAATAAAATAAGTAGATAAAGTTGGGCTAAAACCAGGATCAGACGTGCCACATATCCAGGATTATTTTCTTCTATAGTAAATGAATTGCCAAAGGGCTTTAGCAGGCATAGATGAGCAAGAAGATGCTCAATGTTAACAAAGTTATACATACTCTTTCATCTTTATTTATAGTCTTTTTTTTTTTTCTCATAATCACATGCATTTAGCCTTCTCTGCCTGGTTTTCTTTACTGTCACATAAGTCAGCTAAAATGTAGCTGTTTCCAGCAGGTGAAAATATTACATACAATTCTGAACAGATTCTCTTTTGCTTTACAGAAATTTTAAAATTTCAGCAACAGCCAGCTTTGCTGCAATTATAATTACATTGATACATGCTTATCAGATTATGTTTTTCTGCACTTTATCTTGTATTTCTTTCTCTTTATTTCTTTGTTATATTTACTATTTCTTCTTCGCTTTGCTTTGCAGTCCTTTCAAATACTGATTAAAGCTGTGTGTGTGTATTTAATTGTGAGAGATGGATGCTGCACAAAAGAGTCATAGTCCATTTTAAGTTTTTGTCTGCGATAATATTAATTGTATGTAACATAGAAAGTGATAAGAAATGTCAAAGGGATCTCCAAAAGAAACTACAGATTTTAGTATAGGACACTTTTTGAAAACATGTAAGAAATTTTAATATAATGCTGTCATGTACTTATGAAAATCTGCAGTAACAGTTTTATTTTCAGCATTGAAACATAGTTGAACATTAAGACACATTCAGTGTCAGTAAGACACATTTCATGCTTCATGACAGGATTTGCAAATAACAATAATAATTTATTTCTCCAACTTTTCCTACTAAAGACTTTGAGAGCTATTTCCACTTCCAGATGCAATGTTACTGAAGTTAGTGAACAATTTGTCCCGTTTTGTGATATGGCATTGAGTTGGCAAGTAATAACAAGAATATTGTTCTTTGTTTGGATTTTGTGTTTAAAACTTTGCTCTGTCAAAGTTTGCTGAAAACTTTTCAGGTTTTTCTCTATCCATCATGGATCACCTCACTCAACGGATCAAAGTTTTCTTTCCTTTGAGTGGCCCAAGGAAGATTTTTCTTAGTTACTCTTAGTTATGGGGTTGGAGTCATCCTTGGAACATGATAACAGTAGTCTCTGTCCCTGAGAGATGAGCAATGATGGTTTTGTATTTCCCTTGGCCGATCTTAACATGGGAAATGAAAAATGGCAGAGTTATGCTCTTGGATTATGCTATACTGTTATACCATCTCTACAGCTTCAGTCTGGATGAGATGTTGTCAGGGTCTGTGCTGGACTCTGTAGATCATGGTTCATTGCAATGAGTGCGCTGATGCTCAAGTCAAGCAAAGGTTAGTGCTAGAGCTTCCTTATACTGGCTTTTCTCGTAAGTGAAATAGTTGTTGCTGTCCACAGAAGGAATCTTCAGACTCATAAAAGTCTCTGGAGTGGAACTGAAGGAGTTTAGTAAATACAGACACACACCACGAACAACTAACCCCCTTCTTCCAAAAAATACCGCATGCTTCAGAAATCCTGATCAGTATCTACATTTAATTGGTTGCTTGGCTAAGAGGAACAGTGACCCTATTTGACTTTTCTTTTTCTTTTTTCTGCCACTGCCCTGGCATCTCTTTGCAAAAGGGGAATAATTATTTTTAGGGAGAAGGCAAGGAATCTAATGGCAATGGTTCTAATTAATAGTCTTTTGCAGCTATGGGAAATCATCCAGGAGCTTGTGCAAGCTCATTCTGGTGAGAGATTGCTTGTGGAGGCAGATAAGCAACATTTAAGTGCAGTCCTGTGTCGCAAGTCTGAGAATGGCTGCACTCCCTGGCAACAGAAAATGCCCTTGTGGATTGGTGCTACCATATATGCTTTTCCCTAGCACCATGGTAAGGAAAGGAAACAGGCCTGTTTTTCTGCATTTTATATGTTCTTATTGAAGCACTTTATTATACTGACCCCATGTAACCTTTTTTTTTTTTTTTTTTTTTTTTCCTGCTACATTGGGTTTTTAATCAACATACATACATTGCAGAAGTCTTTTGATGCTCTGGCTGATAACCTTTTAGTCTCTGATGATAAAAGGTTCTTGAGAGAAAAATTACTTGAATCTCCTGGTGACGCTGTTAAATATATTAAAGGGATGTATGTCTATTTCCATTCTGTGAAATGCACTTTGCTCTCAAATGTTCCACTGAGGATAGGCCAAAGGCTTTCATCTGCCTTTATCATATTAAATTTTCTGAGTGACCGAAATCAGTGGCTTTTTCTGCAAAGTAGTAGGAAAATGGTAATTTAAGTGATAAATTGCACCTAAGTGAGGACAAACCTATTTTTCTTTTCAAAGGAACAAGCTGCCATTTTATTTCTGATTTAGTGATTTATCCTCTTAAGGCTGTATATTAAAACTCAGTTAATGAAATTTTCCATCAGCAATGGTAGAAAAGAGTGATTACCAAAATCACTGTCTCTGTTTTAGAATTAAGTTGTGTTTTGTCTATAGGTTTTGGCACCCCAAAAAAGCTTGATAAAATATGTAAAGCTTCACCTTCACCTCAGGTAAGTCGTGCAAGCTGTGCTTCATCCTCATGGAGCTATAAGAAAAATACAGAACTTCTTCAGTTTTTGTCCCAGATGTATTGCAAAAGATCAAAAGTTCCCAAGTTCCTAAAATCTTGTCTTAGCCTTACAAGGGCCTACAGCAAAATGACTGCACATTCATATTTCTGATCTGTCAGATTAAGCCCTACAGATCTTTAGACTGACAGCCTCTTCTTTTGGTGGTCGTTCTTTGATATAGAACTTAAGAGAATAATCGCAATTTTTTTCAGCATTGGCGCTCTTGAATGCAAACTCTTGAAGTAAACATAGCACAGGCGTTTTACTCAGTTGGCTTTAAAGTGATAAGAAACACAAAAATTAAAAACAACTTGAAAGTTTAAGCAGACGAGCTTCGATTTTAAGTTGCAGTCACAAGTCTGACGAAGTTAAAAGTGATTTGCCAAGCAGCATCAACTTTTGTACAATCTGGGGGAAAGTTTACTATTTCACTGCTTTGTCAATTTCAAAATATCAGAGAAGTAATCATTCAGCTCATTTGGAGCAGAAGTAATTTTTCTTCAATTTTTACCGATGTGAGAGTTTTACAAAAATAACAATTCAAGAGGAACTATTTGCAAAATCATAATTTTTTTAAGCCATTCCTTTAAAATAAATGATGAGTTAAACACATTTATTAATGTCTATCAAGACTAGGTTTTCTGCATATAGGCTTACTAGGAATACCCCCCACTGCTACTAAATAAACATTTAAGAGCTCAAAGGTGTTCATGTAGTGTAGCGTTTCATCCTCTGTGGCTTGTCTGTTTACTTGAGAGAGAGAGAAAGGCTTAGAAAGAAAATATATTCACTGAAAAGGATACCAAGTATCAGTAGAAAACACCATATTTGGTTTCCTTACAGTAAAATAAAAATCTCTCCTATAGTTTTTTTAAAAAATCTTCAGCTTCTTTCTTTCATTTTGTGGGGCAGAAGTGGTAGCCTCCATGGAATTATTAACTGACCGATGCAATTGATGCTACTAATTTGTGCAAAGGAATATTTGTTTTAAGATAGCTTTGTTGGAATCATTAAAATCAAACAGTGATTTGGTTATGAATCAGAGGCCAACAAGTAAGGCTGATCAAATCTATCTGATACAGGAGAAAAGTGTTCAAATTTCCCCATAGAATTGGAAAACTTTTCCAAGTTGCAGAGAAGGTTATTATTATTACAGGGATACATTTCTACAAGGCAGGCCAGGAAACTTCTGTGCTATGTTGTCTAAGTCCCCTGTGGCAGCTCAACAGCAGATGCCAAGGAAACAAAGCAGGGCTTAGTCAGCTTAGTGCTATGGCTTCTTCCCAGAATTTCCAGGCAAAAATCCCTTGACTCTGCAAGCAACTGCTGCAATAAAGCACCATCTCCTCTGAACCATCTCCTCCATCTCTACTTTCCTACCTGCCACATTTCGTGTGAAATGCTGGTGGGACGAAAAAGGGGCAAAGGGGAGGGCTGGCAATTTTTTGAGTAAAAGGCATGTCGCACACATGCTTGTCTTCCTCCTTGTTAAAAATTGGTATGTCCCTTTTCTGTGGAGATCTATAATACATGGTACTCACAAACTCCTCGTTTTTAGAGCTGGCCTATGTTTAATTTACTTCCAGAGTGATCTCTATTCAAGATATTTTTGTTTGTTTCTTTCTTGTTTTGTTAGGACATATAATCAAGGTTACTCACGGGGTTAGGATGGAGATGTAAAACCTCACTGCAGGTCAAGTTTCCTTTGAAAGTGGTGTTTTTTCTCCCTCTTTTTGAGTCTTTGTCGTTCTTTGTCATGTCATATATGGCAATCCAAGTCCTTGGCAAAGCGAGGTGCAGAGGAATGAAGTAAAGGTGTGATCATTCCTGTGTGCAGTTGTTTTTATTTTGGTATTTACAGACCTTCTGAAAATTAATAAATAAACCTTGTTGTTTGTTACAGCCATTTCAGGCACTTCTACAGAGAGTGTCTTAT